CTGCTGAAAGCCCAGCATTTTTTATTTTCTTTTTTAAGAAATTGTTCATTTTCACCCATCTACTAAGAAACCTGTAAAAGGTGGCTGTGTATGGCTGAGCCATGGAGATGGGTTCAAGTCAAGCAGCTCAAACTTAGACTGGACATCAGATTTCTCTGAGCTTGGAGCTGATCAGATTAATTTTGCACATTATCAGAGAGCCCTGGACAACAGAAACATGAACTCTGATCAGGTCTGAATTTTTCCCCTCATCCTGCAGCCATAGCTTAGCCAGGGCTTTGTCTCTGCACTGTTTCTGCTCCCTTGCTCTGAACCAAGTGATTTTTCAAAAACCTTACTGCTCTGTCAGGCAAAAGCTCTCTTGCCCCACATGTCCACCCTTTTTCTTTCCATATATATTTTTCCCAATCCTCTCTGTTCACCAAGGTTTTGTGTGTTTTCCCCTTGTCTTTGTGTTGACTTCTCAGTGTGAGCACGCTGCCGTTTCGTTTGGATTTTTTCCCTCTTTGCAGCCTCCACGGCTGCTTGTCCTTCCTTTCTGCTGTTTTCTGGTCCCTCTTTCTCAACTGTTCTCCATGGTCGCTATGACCAACCTCTGCAGTTTGGTGTGCGTGGCTTGCTGCTGCCCGGAGGTGCATGCGTGGGGTCCTCCGGCTGTGCTGCGCGGGCACCAGGAGAGCTCTATCCTGTGCTGGGGTGGGGAGAAAAGGGTGTAGGAAATTAATTTAAAGGTTCTTTTCTACCCAGATAGATGAAAATAGGGAAGAAAACCATTTTGGCTTTGCTTTGGTATCTTGAGATGGGTTCATTGGTACCATTTTCAGAGGAGGGTGGTGGTGTTTTTTCACTCTCTCGCAGTGTGTATTGAGACTTAGGGGCCTCTTAGCCAGACTCAGTTTGTTTACAGCAAAGCATCCTGGGATGTACATGCTGTTCGGCAGTAGCAGTAAGGGTAGGACCTGGAGTCGGTCCATTCTTTGCACCACAGAGCTTTGCCTGTGCCTGTAGAGTAAATGGGAAGAGGAGATGCCCATGATGCTGCTACATGAAGTGGCGGAGTCGCCATCCCTGGTGGTGTTCAAGAAGTGTGTGGATGTGGCACTTCAGGACATGGTTCAGTGGGCACGGTGGGGTTGGGTTGATGGTTGAACTGGATGACCTTAGAGGTCTTTTCCAACCTTAATGATTCTGTGATTCTAAATCTGTTCAACACTACAGTGCTGACAAGGCATCTCGGAGATGTCTGCGAGAGTGTGGTGGGAGGAGGGTTTATTTGAGAGAGAGCCTGGGGGTGTGATTCCTAGGAGCAGTGTGATGCCAGGAAAGGTGATAACCCAAACTGCTGCTCTTCAGAGCTGCCTTTTCAGCTCCCTTTCCTGGGCCAGGAGGAGACAGCATGACCAGCAGACACCTCTCTACCTCTGCCCAGCCTGGCTCCAGGCAAAGCCCCGTGTGGGGTCTGCAGGGTGATGCTGGCAGATGGAGGGGGCTCTTCACTTTGTTTTGTGGTTCCCTTGGTGCTGTCAAGCACAGCTTTGCACGCCCCATTTCTTTTGCTGGACAAGGAGCAGGGTTGCACCATCTGAAGGTGAGATGACCATCCTGTGCAGCAGGTCTGGTTGTGTGAGGGGGACAGAGCCCACATTTCGGGGGCACAGACCTGGTTTCTCTCTTGGCCAAGGGAGGGAGGAAGGCCATGGCACACCTCACTGAAGCCAACGGAAGAGTTAAATGAGAGTAGAATTATTACAACTAGGTCGGGCTGAATTATTCATAGCAAATAATTTATTCACCAAACTCAGCCTCGTTTCCCACAAGCAGTGCTCCATTGTCCCGAATTTATTCATGTTTGGGAATTATTCCCAGGGTAGTTCCTGTCCCAGAGGTTGCAGGAGCTGCTGGCGGGGTGCTCTTAATAATTCAACTCCATCAGGGTGCCAGCTGGTTTTCCTGGCATTCCTAGCTCAGTTTTCTCCTCTTCCCGCTAACGTTTGGACAAGCATGTCAGTGAATGGGATTTGCAGTGCAGATATTTCTGTTCAGATATTTCTATTCCATGCTCGCTTTCTGGGTCAGGCGGGGAGGCAGCAGGAGACGTCTGGGCTTTTGACACCCTGATGGATTTCTCCCCATTTCCTTAATGCATTCCCTGCCTATTCAGACATTGTCCAAGAAGTTTCCAAGCAGAAGATCTGCAGAAACCAAATGCTGGAGGGCGCAAATTCTGCCAAATTCGCCTGACACAAAGATTTGGTTTCTTGTTAGCGATGTCTTTGTTTATTTGCAATGAAATCATTACCAGAAGCTAAGGGGTGTCTGCACCCCTCCTAACCACACAAGTAACCGCAGCGATCTGTTTCTACCTCGCTATCTGCACAGAGTTAATTAGGAGACTCCAGAGACCATACTGCAGCTCCTGCCTCTGGGGCCTTTTCCTGCAGAAACATTAACGAGTGCAAGGGGGATGCCTCCGAAACCACCTAATTAAAACCAAGGGCTGGAGGAGGGTTCCCCAAGCAGGAACCAGGAGCAGAGACTCCATCTGCTGCTGGCCTCAGAGCTGCAGTAGGAATTTGGGGGTGAAGGGAGGAAGAGGAGCAGCCCTTCTCTTACCAGGGCTGGGCACCCAGGGGGAATTTGTACCTTTTTTCCTGCTCCCCAGTTATAAAATCACCTGAACACTTAAAGCTGTCCAGGCTGACCTGTTTGACCAGTTTGCGTATTGGGATATAAAAAAAATAACAATCACAGAATTATTGAGGCTGGAAAAGACCTCTGAGATCATCAAGACCATCAGCTTAAATGGTGCAGACTGGGCAGTGTGGGGAGGGCAGGAGGGTGGGAAGCAGCTTGGTTTGGAGAAAGGCTCTTCAGACAACTCTTTGCAGCGCTTACAAGGGAGTTTTGCTCAGCCAACCTTTCTGCAAGTGTGCAATTGCATGTACCCCCTTGGAAATCTCCCTCTAAATCCTTTGTCTCTGATTAAAATGTAGAAGGAAAGACCTTCACACAGCACTGCTGCATATGGCCGTGATGTGGCCTGTGATCTGCACCCATGTCCTTTGGGAATTTGGTCTAGAAAGTCAGCTGGGGGGACTTGGGATGTCTCAGTCCCAAAATGTATTTTGGCACTAGTTTTTGTGAGGATAGAGCTCTCCTGGGGGGAGTTTTTTCTCATCTGCTTGTTGTTTGCATCCATGCATCTTCTTTCTCCATCCCTTAACTCTCTCTCCCACTGCCGTGGGATTCAGTAGGATACAGTAAGTGGTAACTGTGGACTCTATGTAGTAATTCTGTTGTAATTTTCTGTGTGCTGAGGGCTGAAGTCTGAGGTAAAATCCTGTTTCATTCGACACAAGTGAACCGAAAAAAAAATAGTTGTGGCATTGCCAGCATTTGATACTGTAATTGAATTATAAAGGGAGGAGAGTCTTGGCTTTGATTTCCCTATCTCTGAGGCTTGTCAGACAGGGGAGATAACCTCTGGGCATGCTTTAAGAAAGCTCTTTGAGATTACAGTGGTGTGTCTCAGACTTCAGGAGACAGGGTAGGTTGTTACACGAGTCTTTTGTCCCTGCAGCATGCAATGAGATCCCGAGACATGTAATAAGATAAATAAGGAGGTTCGGCTCCTCTGAATGTCAGCTCACTTCAGAAGGAGATTTTTGCACTGGACCAGTGCCCTGTGCCTTCTGTTCGCCCCTGCCAGCACCAGCACACATTCCCTCCAGGAGGGACATTTTCTCCTTGGCTGGCAGAAGTTATCAGGGCATTTCCCTTCGCCACCGAATCCCATCCATAAGCACAGGTGCTTGCACCCCACAGCTCCCTTAGCCCAGCAAGGGGGGTGAGCGGGTCCATGCAAGGCGTCCCCAGGTCCCCGCAGTGGCACCTGGAGCCAGGACTGCACCAGCGATGCTGCATCCCTCAAAAAACTTCCCAGCCATGAATGCTGCTTGGGACTGTGGTGTGCGGGGCTAAAGGGGGGCTTTTGGCTCTGCACCCCCTGCCTAAGCACCCTGCTGCTGATCGGGCTTCAATTTCTGAACAGCGTGTGGGGCTGTTGTTAAACAAAGAGAAGGTTTCTGTTCTGCGATAAGGATCAAAATAACAGGGTAAGCTGCTTTCAGACATGGATGAAATTCCCTCCCGAGCACGGGGCCCCGGCCAAGCTCACACTTGGCTTTCCAGGCTCTGCTGAGGCAGATTAATGCCTGGTGACTTCCTCGGGTTGCACAGACCTTGAAGAACGGAAACACAGAGGCTTGTCTGATACAGCTGTGGCCAAGGAAGTTTCGAAAGAGCTTGTGAAAGCTGAGGAGCTGAGAAATCATTAGGTTGCTGAAGGAGAAGAAATCTATCCTTTAAACGCGTTGCTAAGGTTATCAGCAAGGCTTGAAGAGTGCTTCTCTCTGTATTGCCATGCTGTGCTGCCAGTGTTAGGGGAGCCACAGCTGCCCAAAACTATCTCAGGTGCTTCGCTGCTCACAGGAATTATGGATTTTTCCTGTCAGAGGTGGAGCTGACTGGGGATGGGGAAGGAGTTGCTACTAGGTCTGAAGATCTCTGAAGATATTGATCCCGAGGGACTGAAAGAACATAGTTGGGTAAGATTATAGTCCTACTCACATTAATCCAGCCCCTTCTTGGTGATTAAGTTCCAAACGGAGCTGTGTAGATCATTGACTGGAAGGGAGAGGGCCTTCATTGCTCCTGGGGTGCCAGCAGGGAAAGGGGAGACAGAACCCAAGTGTCTCCAATAAAAAGGATGTTGTACACCTTTACCTACCAGCAGCCAGCCCCAAGCTCTCCCAGAGCACCTGAGCTGCACCACAGGGCTCGTCAGCCTTATTTTATATGTGTACAAAATGCATCATCGTGGCACCGCTGCAGAGACTGCAGAGCTCCTATGCAAAGCCCTCACACACCTCCTGTTGTCATTGCCACCAGAATTGTCTTCCTTACACTCTGGCCACCTGCATGGCTGGAAGAGCTACAATTTCTGGTTGGAGCCACATCTTGGGGTGGTGGAGGAAAATCATCTTAACTTCATTCAATGGTGTGAGGTCCTGCTTGTTGTTATAGCTTTTGGTGTGGAGCCAGAATAGAGGTGACGGTAGCAAGTGTAGGAAAGGATGGCAGAGGTGGCTTTGTGGTTTGTATCTCCTGAGCATGCTGCTTTAGCAGGGGCAATGGGTGCCAGCCACAGGACTGGAGGCTACAGACGTAGCTGGAGACTGCCAGAAGCAGGGTACCAGGCTGGGAAATGGGATGGGAGCATTCAAATGCAGTACAAATGCTGGCAAATCAGTTGTTTAACCACTAAAGCCACTGTTACATCTCAGACCTGCTCCTGGAAAGGAACTGACATCTCTGTGGAGAAGATGCAGTTTAGCTCAGCGCACAAAAGCTTAAGCCCCTTTGTGATCTGGTTGTTTCAAAGGGCTCCTGGGGGGAAGAAGGGGTGGGGGGGAGGAATCCTGACCCCTGCTCACAGCCACCGTGTTTTTCTCCCCAGCGCCTGGTCCGGATGAACATGCCCATCTCTCCTGAAGATCTGACTGTCCACTTCACCTCCACGCTGATGGCCTTGATCCGCACTGCCCTGGAAATCAAACTCGCCTCAGGTGAGAGGGGGGTGATGGCTGACCATGGGCTCAAGCCCCAATATGTCGTCTGTTGGCTTGGTGTCTTCCCAACAGGCAACAGAGAGGACTCTGGGATGGCTGCATCCTGGCATCCTTGACAATGAGATAGGGACAGCGTGAGCCATCCCAGTTGCAGCTCTCAGAGGAGAATCCCTGTGTGTTTGCTTGCTGCTGTATAATAGAAATGAGTTTCTGCACCTCTTCTCTAAACTATTCCACCATGAGGGGAGAACTACCTTTCCCCTCCAATTGCTGTCTGCGGGCAGCAAAGCAGTGCCATGAACCACATTCCACCTTGAGAAAAAAATTGTTTAAGTGTTTAATCAGGCATTTACTTGACTTCCCAATTAAACATTGCAATGAGATAAAATACACTGGCCTTTTCTCTGGGTCGTTACACTATTTAATCAGGCTGGCTGAGGTCAGAATTAAGGCATGACCAGCCAAAGCACTTTTTGGACCTAATTTAAAGGCTAACAAGAGGGAACAATGCTCTTACAAGCAAAAGGTAAGACAGGGTGAGGATGTTGTGCTTTTCTGAAGTGGATTTTGGCCAGCCTTTCTACCTCTTTGTATTAATTACCTCCCTCATATGTTGCTTAAACTTTGATGCTATGTGTAGGCACTGCTGGAAGAAGCCAAATTTTGAGGTCACAGGGACTCCCCTAGGGAGTGACGCCAAATATCAGATGCTCATTTCTAAGGATGTGATTAGGACTGCTTGGGATTTTAGGGCCCAGCACCGTATTTTAGTAATAACCTCTAGATAAGGATGCTGAGAGTTTGTATTGTTTTAGACTTCTAGTTACGTGTCAGCAATAGTAATTCTAACAGTCTTTTTGACCTGAAAAAAGCTCCTCTGACCCCTTTTTTTGGCCGCGTACTGGAAGGAAACTGGAGAAGATTGCTCAGCTGATAGAGCTGGATTCTTTCTAAGCTTTATATCAGCTGTGGGTTGTGAGTTTATGACCTTTTCTGTTGCTCCGTGCTTTGTTTAAATAGGTTTTGTGTGCTACATTTAATCGAGTCTTTAGCAGGACTACCAGGCCCTTAATAAACTCTCCCTAATGAGTTTCCGTGTGGGAGTTCAAACCACCATGTAGCAGAGTACCCAGAACTTCCTCCCGTTACCTCTCTCTTTGAGAAATAATCTCTGTCATTCAGATGAGCTACTTAATTGCTTATTGTGCGCTGCATTCATATCCTTTAATCACTTTGCCCCCCGGGTATTGAGACCTTGCTTTAGCCATTTGAATGATGCCACTGCAGCTGGCTCTTTCTGGTTTACGTTGCAGTGTAGCTGCTGTTGGATGCTGCTGGTACAGCAACGTGCTGACACCTCATTGCCAAAAACTTCAGGAAGAGTTGGTGTTAAAGAGGGTTTATCCAACAGCCCAAATTCACAGACACCTGTAGTCAGGTAGAGTAAGTCGGAGCTTAAGCTTAAGCCCCCAGAACAGCCAAGAGTCAGCAGGTTGAGGCGATGATGGTTGCACTGAGTTCACAGACCTCTGTCACTGAGGAGGTCACCGATGCCCTTTGGAACATCAGCCTGGGCTGGGGCTGGGTCGGGACTTGAGAAATGGGAGTGGAGAGATGACTTCTGTGGTATGCACTGACGGGACATGGGCTTTGGCTGCTCTTCATGTGCCTCTTTCCCCTCCCTTTCTGCAGGGGGTGTTAAACAGCACCAGTGCGATGCTGAGTTGAGAAAGGAGATCTCCCTGGTTTGGCCCAATCTCTCCCAGAAGACTCTGGATTTGCTGGTGCCTCCTCACAAACGTAAGTGGTTCATCAGTAAGCACCCAACCCATCCCAGCCACCTGAGCAGCCCAGAGTAGGTCTCTCCCTCCTTGCCTGCCCTGTCCCTGCACCCATCCAGGTGCTCAGTCATCTGGAGGATGAAGAACGCAAATTAACCAAGTGCAGTTCAGCTTCTAGGTATCATCTCCACAGGGTTCACAGACTGCACCTCCATGCTATGGTCATGTAAATGTAGGGAAGCTGAGAACACATCTAGGCAAGTATTTCATTGCATTACAGTAGGCTTTCTGTGCTTAGAAAATAAGAAAAACCTGGTGCCAAGAAGTGACCAATGCCCTGTGTGGCCTCTTCCAGAGCTTTTTCGTAACTTTGTCTGCCTCCAGCCTGTGCCTTACAGGACAGGAGAGCAATTTCTACCATATGGGCTCCAGAAAACCAGGAGAAGAAAATAAAAGTTTGCTGAGAACTTACAGAATCACAAGTGAGGTATTTTGGGGCTGAAGGCCTTTATGTTACTTGATGATGTCCTGGGCGAACATGCTGAGAAAATTGAAAGTTTGCCATTATCTTGATTGGCCAAGACGAGGGCTGTGGATTCCTGATTAATGAGAAACAGTGCAGAGCAATGTTAATTAAGAAAATTGAAGGAGCTGAAGTGCAAATCAGTGGGAGTTGACTACTTAAGTCTTTTCCTCCCCTCCTCTCTTGATGCCTGTGTATCTGCTGCTTTAACTCCTTGCTCTATGGGACATGCTCCACTGCCATGCAGGGAAGGGCTGGTAGCAGAGCTGCGAGGGTGAAAAGAGACATCTGGAAAAATGAAATACTCTCTAAAGGTATATTAGTCCAGTATGCCCTGGTTGACTGTAATTCAAAGGAATAGGAATAAGGCTTCTTTGCTGATAAAAAGCTGGTTGTGGATCTGGTATTAATTTAGCAATTCTTCTGTCTTACAATGCCACAGAGCTTTCCTGCCTGTGTGTTTTTTCTACGTGGTCTCTGTGAATGTTTCCCACAGAAAGCGAGAGATAGGAGCCCCCTCCTCAAATGGGAAAGGCAGCAACAGGCAAAGACCAGGAGAAGTCCGTTGTAACCCTTTTTTTGTCTTTTCTTCTTTCCCCCACTTTTCTGTGTCTGTTTTGCCTCATTATTCTAACGTTACCTTTTCCTTCTCCTCGTTTTTCATGCCAAATTGCGGTTATTTCTTGTGCTCTTTGACTTATTTTTCTCTTCTTTTGAACATCTTTGCTGCATTTCACCATCCTTTGGCAGCCGATGAGATGACCGTGGGGAAGGTCTATGCTGCGCTGATGATATTTGACTTCTACAAGCAGAATAAGAACAGCAGGGACCAAGTCCAGCCTCCTGGAGGCCTGTGCCAGGTACTCAGCCAAAAGGTGTCCTTCTCAGTCCTCCCTATTGGACAGCTTCTTCTCTGGCGTTGGGCAGCCCTCATAAGAGTCACTGTCACATCTCATCCAGAAAGTCGGGATGCTTCTCCAGGCAGGATTTGAAAATGCTGTCTCAGAAATGGAAACTTCTCCTGGAAGTCTGTGTCTCTCTCAAAAAATAAAATAATTGTTGCAGTTGCCTTTTCCAATGGGTTTGGAAAGATCTTTTCCGAAGAATGTCAAGTGACATTTGGCACTCAAAATTTGCAGAGTGGCCTAAGGACTGGAGAACACCAAAAGATTTCTTTGGGACACCAAAGAATTATTGAAAGCTGATGATAGTTTGGCTAAAAAATGTTTAATTTACTTCTGAAAATGGGAAATATTCAAAATCTTTTTGGTTTTAATAGCTTCGAAGATTTTTACAATTTCTTGAAAATATTCGCACACAATTGGCTTGGGATTGAAAAACCCAACAATTTCTGATAGGACAAATACCTGCTGATTTCAGGACGATCACCCAGATGATGTCCAGCATGGCTCACTTCTCTGCCTCATACGTGGGACCTGGAGCAGACCCAGTGTCACAAATTGCACAGCCCCTTTGGTTACATTGGTGCATGAAATCCCTGCTGCGCCTTGGTGACCAGGGGGATACTTTGTTAGAGAGAAAGGAGACTGCAGCCCAACTTTGTCCTGTGCAAAGCTGAGGGCTGCAAGTGTCCTCCAGAGCCTCGTACAGCTATGGGCAGGCTGGGCTGTGCTTTCTGCTGGGCTGATCTTTCAGGGTGACAAAGTGGATATTTTATTAACTAGAAAATATACTGCAATCCATCTTCTCTACACACAGTTCTGTCTCTGACAACCTTTCCTTGTGCTCTGCAGCCTGGACCGGTGTCGCTCTTCCACCCCCTGAAGGCCACTTTGGAGCAGACCCAGCCCGCAGCATTCAACAACGCCAAGGCGTTCCTGCGCCAGAAGAGCTCAGCCTCGCTCAACAACGGGGGCGCGTTGTGAGTATCTCGTGACCTCCTCACCAACGCTGTAATGCAGAGGAGGGACATGCTGGGCACACATCAACCCCAACCACTGCTGGTTCAGTTGCTCTGAAGATGGGGCAGCACAGCTGGTGACACCAAAATGCCTCAGGGTGGCTCTGCTTCCCACTGCCACCTCTGGTGCAGTTATCCACGTGGTGGTAGCATTGGGTTCTCCAGAGCTGCATGTTTTCTCAACGGTCTCCTCTGTGTCTTAATTAGAGAGCTTTCCATTGTGGCTAGTGTTAAGTGTGAGTTTACTGACAGGAATTTGGGATCTTTGGAAAACAACCAAGGAAACACCAACCCACCAATCACTAATGCACTGAGTTCTTGGGAGTAAAAAGGCCCTTGGGATCAAACAAGATCCTCAAGTTCATGACATTTCATAACAGCAAGAGCTTCTTGAGACTTTCCACGACAGAATCTGGCTCTTTAGGCAAAATAATACCTCCACAGAGAGCTTAACAAACAGTTACTGTAGCAGCGATCCCTAATCAATTCTCCATTTCCTGCTCTTCTTCAGGTGACTTTCCTCTGAGTCACAAGTGCTATGGATTTTTAGTGAGAGCCATCTGAGGTTTAAATGTCCCAAATAACCCTGATGAGGAACCCAACACTGGATTCAACAGTCAAACCCATGGCCATTTGTACCACCATACATTTCATGAATGTGCTTTAGTATTTGTTTGACCAATGGCATTTAGGGCTCTTGGTCTAACTAGTGTAGCATCCATAATTTGCCTGAACTCCAAAATTCTTCATTTTTCTTCATCAGAACTTAAGTTGTAGAAGTTTGTTTCCCTTTGTTATTGGGAAAAAAACCAAACACAACAACAAAAAACCAAACCAAAACAAACAACAACTGCTCGCTTGGTTGGTTTCTTTGTTGCTTATGGGATCTTCAGATTATGTAGGAAGTGGCCCTGGCAAAACTCAGGAGACCTTATAGCTTCACCAGCAGCTGTGCCTATCCTGTAACTGGATTGACAAGTGAAACCTCAAAGGGTATCTGAGCAGTTTACCTTCATCAAAATAAGGTCAGCAAAACCTCTTTACAAGAGAGTTACTCTTTTTTCCTCTTTTCCTTCTGACAGGCCACCCCCAGAGGGTGGGATCAAAGAGTCCAGTTCTTGGGGGACCCAACGTACCCAGGACGTGTTTTATGAAACCAGAACACCAGCTTTTGAACGAGGCCACTCAGAAGAAATCCCCATTGAAAGGGTGAGCAAACAGGTGAAGACAGGGTGAAATGAGGTAGATTTTAACACACAACAGCCTAGACACTTTCCTGAGAGCTGAAGAGGTCTTCTGTCCCTTGAGACGAGCTTTGCTTTCTCTTGTAACCCAAAGTTTGCTTGAACGTTATGGAGAAAAAACAAGCCTGATAGCTGGACACGTGGACAGCTTTTCCTGGAATTACACGCCTGCTGTGATAGATTACTTACGATTATCTCTTCCTAGTTGTCCCATTTTCCCAATCTCATTGTCATTAGTCTACAAACTCAGAGGAGAGGTCTATGGGTCAGAGCTGGAGCTCATTGCCACAGCTGGTGGAAGAGCTTGGCCCACTCTTACCCTTCCTGAACATAGCACTGTAGATAGAGTAACCTGGGCACTCCACGGCTCTTAATTTACTCTTTCTCCTCCCGGCTTTTCTTCACAATTAAATCAAACTTAGCAGAAGTCTGGTCAGATGATGGTTTCAAAGGTGATGCTCGCATTCTTGCTACTCAAACCATTTCTTGTTTTGATCAGGTGGTAGAAATGAAGGAAATCAGCCCCACAGTTGCCAACGGAGAGCATCAACCAGGCCTGGAGAGCCAGGGGCGGGCGGCTTCCATGCCACGCCTGGCCGCTGAAACTCAGGTGAGCAATGAGGCTTTGCTGACGGCAGGAGACTGAGAGAGCAGGTCAAGAACTCAGTGCCTTCTCTCTGCTTGCCGTGTTGTTGGAAGTTACTTGTAAATATTTGTTTTAAATGATGTTTGCTGAACCTGGAGACAGGTAACCAGCCTTTGTGCTAGGATGTCCTGGTAGGCATAATTTTCCCATTGACAGTTGCATGCTGTCTACCTAGCCAGACAGTCAAGGCATGCTCCTGTGCCCTAGCCGTAAAAAAAGCTGGAGGTGTGCTGTGATTCTCTTTGATGGATGTAGTAGACACAGCAAATACCAGGGAGCCTGTGTCTAGAAGGCTGCATTGAGATACTAAGTGGCCTCCCTGTTTTTATTTATTTTCCCTTAGTATTTAGCATATGCTGTATTGTGGCTTTGGTCAGTAAAATGTCATTGAGGTTTTCTCTTGTTTAACTTGTTCCAAAAAAGTCTTATCGTTGGAGTTGGCTTTTACAGCAACTTGTGGCCACTACTTAGTGCATAGGATGCCATGGTTTTCACGGGTCATTTTTGGGCATTTCACAAGTTTGTTGCCAGCTGTTGTCCGGGATGCTCTCCAGCCACGGTGCCACTTCCCATGTGTCAGAACATCTCACCACTCATAGCCGTGTCTCTCTCATTTCAAGGGCAGCCAGGAGTGAGCAGCCCGTGGGTGTGGGCTGTGCCCATTGCTCTCTGTGGGAAGCAGAACATGAAAGATAGGATGCTGCACCCTAAAATTAAAAGCCTGTGTGCTGTATACACAGCCATAACTCCAACAGATAGGATCTTCTTGCTGATGTGCTCAGGCTGGCACAAGCCACGCTTCATCAGCTAACAAATTTCCCAGCTGGCTTCAGAAGCGGCAGTCTTTGAGAGCTGGGATTCTCTGTGTTATCAGGAGCACTACTCAACACGCTTAATAAAAGAAACAGACCCCAAAGCAAACCCCCACTCCCCCCACAGCAAACCCACACTCCCCCCACTCACTTCCCAGAACAAAGTTGTCCTTTATTCTAGACCACAGGTAGCATCTTTCCCTGCGAGGCGATGCGGTTGGCAGCAGCGATGCCAGCAGCACCAGCCTGTCCTTGGGAAGCTCCTCGCCGTTGTGGTCAGGTATCCACAGGAGCGAGTGTCTCTCTTGCAGTGTGTGTTCCCAAGGGCACGGCTGCCCTGCGTGGGAGCTGTCTGATTTAGTTGTGAATCAGGCCCCTGATATCTGAGCACATCTAACCTCATTTAATAATGCAATCTTTTGGTGGTTGTAGCTTCAGCTGAATAACTGATGTACTCTCTGTGTGTGTCTCCCCCTCCACCCTCCCTCTCATGTGTTGCTTCTGCTCCCCCCAAACTTTGAGTTCCTTATAACTCTTATTTGCAATGCTTTCTGTTTTGGGATGTCTCCCTTTCTGTTTGCCTGTCATTCTTCTGTCTTTTTACGTTCCACTTTTTTTAAAAAAAAACCAAACCTTCCTATGCTTTCAATCTCACCTCCTCCCTCCCTCTTTGCTGTCCTCCTCCCTCGTCACCTCCCTCCCTTGTCGTCATCGTGTCTGCTGCACATCTGCCGTGATGTCTGACAATGGCTGTACTGTGGGGCTGCTTCAAATAATGTCTCTCATCTTGTCCGAATTGTTTGCAGAGGAGCAAAGCACGGTCACCTGGGAGTTACCTAGCAGTATGTAGTTTGCACTAAGTTGTATCCTATTAAATTCATGTTAAGAAATAATTAACCTTCCTTAATCCTTTACTTTTTCCCCTTCTCATTTGGAGTCCAATGTTGCACTGACGCAGTCGCTACCTCTTTCCACTTTGCTGCAGTTCCCTCGATCCCCAGTTGCACGCCGCACGCTATAATAGCAGGGACTTTTTGTTTGTTTGTTTTGCTTATTTATTTGTTTTTTGTATGCCTTGTTGCACAGGAATTTAGGAAGTGAAAGCAATCGGTTTGGTAATGAAGAAGCAATTAGTAACTCTCTGAAGGGTTATGGTGTGGTCTCCTGAGGCTTGTGGGGAGCCTGTGCATGGCCCGTTAATGTAACGAGAGCATTGTCAGGATTTGTGGAAAGGGTATTCATTGCTTTGCCACTTCCCATTAGTGTCAGTGGGGACTTCTGTCCCTGGAAAAAGCACATAATCAGGCCCAAAGTCCAAAGAGAAGTGTTAATTTCTTATCTATTGGGCTCACTTTTTGTTGTCTCCTTCCTGGCAGCTCCTATGTGGATTTTGAAAATCTGGATAAGTGTTTTTAGTAGAAAGCATTCTTATTTTTCACTTTTTTGCCCATTATACTGTTCAGTTTAGACCTCTCTGCCTTCGTCCATCTTCAGTCTCAACAGTAAGCAGGGACAAACACGAAGCTCTCCAGTTTAATTTCTTGCCCACACAGTAAAGGCCGCCAGAGGAGACAAATGCAGAAAAACACGGTCCTGCCAACTGACCCTGGTCAGACCCTGATGCTGCAGGCCATGCTGTGCTCCCCTAGCTCACCAGTCCCTTCCTTGTGCCTCTGCCAATCCTCCCAGCTCTAGCAGCACACCTTGCCCTCCAGTGGGAAGACCCAAAATTTGGGCAACTGCCTAGCAAGGGAGAGAGAAACAAATGAAAATTCAGCCCAGACCACACCTTTGCACCCAGGATAAACAACCCCAATGGGAGGGAGAGTGGTTCTTTCCACTCAAAATAACCAGCAGAGCTGCAAAACAACGGGCTTTGCATTGTGCAAATATCACGGGGCAGCGGAGATCTGAATTTCAGAGTAAGCAAACAAAATAGCATCGGCAGTAAAAATAATTCAGGGCTTTTTGGAAAGGTTACAGTGAGCAAGGTAAATGTTCTGCAGGAGCTGTCGTTGGAGGCACATATTGGATTGTGAATTCAAACAAACATAAGGGCTGAGGGACCGGGGGACATCCTGATCTCCTTCCCCATCAGGCTGGACCACCAGGCTCTGAGATCTTTCCTCTGCTCCACAGCTTTGGTGAAGTGGTAGACCAGGGAAGCCTCCAGAGGATGGATGAAGCCCTGTCTCCACCGCAGAGCCAGCTGGAGGCTAGGACACATGGGAACTGTCCTAATTTTCTGAGCTTTATACCCCGTGATTGGGCAGTAGGGAAGGGAAAGGCTGTGAGAATTGCTGTCCTGCGATCTGCTTGTCTTGGTTTGTGCAGAGCATCTTTGTAAGGCTTTGAACCCAAAGGGAGGGGAGCAGAGTCTTGATCTGTCACTGGCATGAGGACGGGGTCCAGTGGTGTCCATGGGAGGCAGTGTTACTGTGCTCCTTGTCCAGATGTTTGGTCACAAATGATTTGAAAACAGCAAGAGCAAACACAAGTAGTCATTTCTGGAGATGTCCTG